AAACCAAGGAATACAGGGACACTGTGAAATCTTGTGGAACAAAGGGGCCATTAAACACTTGGGGCCTCATGGAAATAAAGGAATCCTGAAACATTTGGAAAGTGCAGACCCCTATGGAAACAAAGGAACTCTGGGACATAATGGAAGCTCATGGATCTCAGGGGCCATTGTGACACTGGGGCACCTCATGGAAGAAACAGGAACCCAGGGACACTGTGGAACTTTGTGGAATCAAGGGGCCATTGTGACACTGAGGAACCTTATGGGCTCAAGGGGCCACTGTGCAACTGCAGGGCCTCAGGGAACCCAAGGAACCCTGGGACACTGTGGAATCTACTGAAATCAATGGGCCACTCTGATGCTGCAGAACCGCATGGAATCAGGGGTCATTGTGACACTGCAGGGCCTAATGGAACCAAAGGAATGCAGAGACACTGTGGAATCTCATGGAACCAAGAGGCCACTGTGCCTCCCCAGAACTCCATGCAATCAAGCAGAGCCACTGCCTCCCCCCTGCCACCGCACGGACCGGAGTCGCCGGCTCTGCCCCACTTGGACACCTCTGGAGTCAGCGTGTTCTTGGGCAGCACAACTTAGCTCAGACCAGAGAGTTTCCCAGATTTTGCTTTGCCCCAGGATGGCAACTCTGAAGCACTCACAGGATGTCCCTGTGAACAGGAGGGGAAGACTGGATTTAAAAATCAGGCTGGGAACGCAAAGAGCAGGAGTGTCATGGTGTCATTGCAGGAGAGTTCCAGCCCTGAAGCAAGGTCACAGAAGTGACCCAGTACATGCCCTGCCCTCAGAAGATCCCACAGCATCCTGGAGATGCTGGAAGGGAGCCCAGCTCTGCTTCACAAGTTCCCAGTGGCTGTCCCTGCCTGTGCTCCAAGGGCTTCCAGCCCCCAGGACTGTGCTCAGAGAGCACTCAGGCCTTACAGCGAGAAAGGGGCTCAGGAGAACAGTGTGGAAGTGGTAAGAGAGCAGCTCTGCAAAGACCAAGCCCTGCTGCTCCCTGGCAGTGCTGCTGGGCTGGGATTATTGTTCCCTTCCCGTTTGCCAATACAGCCTGTCCTGCAGTGTGCTGTCCATTAGGAACATCTAAGAAGAAGAGTGTTGGACAAAGTAGGCACTGCAGGGATCTTTATTTTGTTTAAATACTCAGTGAGCACAATTCATCATTTATACAGTCTCAGTGTCAAAATCAAAAGGTGGACACTAAATTAGAAGGCAGACGCATAATAATATTTAATTGCACAGAAAGTTATTGCAAGAAGAACACAATGACCTCCACGAAAAATCTGAACAGGAAGGCTGGGCCATGAAGGAGTCCCATTCTGAATGCTACACACCAGAAAACAGGCACTTTATTGCTCCTGAAAAGCATCCAGTCATCATTTTTCTGAGGGCATTCTTGAGCTCCTGGTTCCTAAGGCTGTAGATGAGGGGGTTCAGTGCTGGAGGCACCACTGAGTACAGAACTGATAGTGCCAGATCCAGTGTTGGGGAGGAGATGGAGGGGGGCTTCAGGTAGGCAAATGTGGCAGTGCTGACAAAGACGGAGACCACAGCCAGGTGAGGGAGGCAGGTGGAAAAGGCTTTGTGCCGTCCCTGCTGAGAGGGGATCCTCAGCACAGCCCTGAAGATCTGCACATAGGAAAAAGCAATGAAAACAAAACAACCGAACACTAAACAGGCAGTAACCAGTAAAAGACCAAGTTCCCTGAGGTAGGATTTGGAGCACGAGAGCTTGAGAATCTGAGGAACCTCACAGAAGAACTGGCCCAGGGCATTGCCCTGGCCCAGGGGCAGGGAAAATGTATTGGCTGTGTGCAGCAGAGCAATGAGAAACGCAGTAGCCCAGGCAGCTGCTGCCATGTGGGCACAAGCTCTGCTGCCCAGGAGGGTCCCGTAGTGCAGGGGTTTGCAGATGGCAACGTAGCGGTCGTAGCACATGATGGTGAGGAGGAAATACTCTGCTGTGATGAGGAACATAAAGGAAAAGACCTGAGCCGCACATCCCATGTAGGAGATGGTTGTGGTGTTCCAGAGGGAATTGTGCATGGCTTTGGGGACAGTGGTGCAGATGCAGCCCAGGTCTGTGAGGGAGAGGTTGAGAAGGAGGAAGTACATGGGGGTGTGCAGGTGGTGGTCGCAGGCTACGGCGCTGAGGATGAGGCCGTTGGCCAGGAGGGCAGCCAGAGAGATGCCCAGGAAGAGCCAGAAGTGCAGGAGCTGCAGCTCCTGCCTGTCTGCGACTGCCAGGAGGAGGAACTGGGCCATGGAGCTGCTGTTGGACATGGGCTTCCCTTGCATATTAGTACTTGTCTGAGAAGAAAAAGGTAGTAACGAGTTATGATGAATGTCTCAGAAAAAAATCTATTCCAATCCTCATGTAAACCCCTCAAATCAACTTTTCTCTCTCACAAAGAATCTGTGGCTGGTCCATTTTAGGAGCTCCATTGAGTGCTGGCTCAGAAAGCTCCAACGAGCAGAGGGCTCTGCTGATGCTCTGGAGGACTCAGTTCTGCTCTACAGCAACAGATAAGTAGGAACTAGGAGTGATGTTTGATGAAATCCCCCCTTGGTAATAAATACCTTCTCATCATTGTCACTCCCAATTCACCCCATTGCAGAGCAGAGATGTGGGCAGACTTTTTTGGTTTTTTTTGCTTCCATTTGCCCCACCTGAGGAAGTGGAATTCCTAAGGCAGAAATCCT